CGAATGGGTAAGTGGCCACCCTCGCCCCAGCCCCAGAGGCCGAAGGGCGCAGCTCGGACCCCCGCTCAGGAACCCGTGCCCCTCTTCACAGATGGCTGCCCGCGTGCCCAACAGTAGGTAGGCCGCTGGGCCCAGCTGAGTGACCTCTGACCCTGCAGGGCTGTGGCTCGGGGCCCCTCGAGCGGGGCCGTGAGGGACGGCTGCTGCCCCACACCCCCCCGAGCACCGGCCACGCCAGCCGTGGGGACCATGCAGCCGGGGGCGGACGGCACGGAGGTTTCAACCGCTGGTTCTGCTGGCCGGAACCCAAGGTGGGGATGCCCACGGGGTCCCCCGGAGCACTGACAGGGGCAGGGCCAGCCTGGCCTGGGGAACCTGCCAAGAGACTCAGGGCCGGTCTGCAGGACCGGGTATGGCAGAGCAGATGGGGGAAGGTCGGCTCATGGAAGAACCCCAACCCCGGCCCAGGGGCAGAGCCCAAGGCACTGCAGGATCCGCCCCACCTGTCCCCACCCCTGAACCCATCCTGCCTGCCTCTCGCTCACAGGAGCTGCAAAGGACTGACGGTTCACAGTCAACCAAAGAGCCTTGAACCGCTGCCATTTCCCCAGGAAGCCCCCCATCCCCGAAGACCTTTCCTGGTGTGTCCAATAAATGACTCCTGCCCCAAGACCGAGTGTGCTCTGTGGGGGTGTTCCAGCCGGTGACCACACAGGGCCAGGGCCGCGGGGGTCAGATAGGTGAGGACCATCCCCCCGAGTAAACCCAGCTCACTGTGGGCTCATGTCCACCTGGTGGAGGAAGCTGCTAGGGGTTCCCAGGGCGCTGTTCAGAAGTGATGGCCACCCATGACGCAGGCAGTCAGCAAGGCCAGACCCCAGGGCCACCCGGTGCCCAGTCCCAGGGCTTCCCAGCGAGCGGGGCCAGAAGCAGGTGTCATGGGGACAAAGATGTCAGCACCATCCATCTAGGTCGGTCCTGGCTCAGGAGCCCCTCTGGCCACACACGTGTGTCTCTGCTAAAGGGGGGCTGAGGCCCTGGGGGCAGGGACAGCCATTGGGCAGCTGGCAGGGGACGCCACCGCTGCTCCTTCCCCCTCCAACTGTGCAGGCCCGGCAGGTTCGTGCCCGCAGACCCCACTGAGGCACACTGAAGGCCCCAGCCTCCCCTCCACAGGTGCCCCGCTGCATGGAGGCCCTGTCCTCCCCCGGGGCCACCACATATGAGCCATCCCTCAAGCCCACGCCCACCTCAGACTGGGGGCTCCTGCCAGCAGTCAAGGGTTCTTTGAGGGGGTCTCTCAGGGCAGGCCGGCCGTTTGGCACCAAGGCCTGTTTCAGCCTGGGATGAAGGGGAGCTGGCTGTGGTGTCCCCCAGTCAGAAGAGGGGATCTGCAGTTGGGATGAGGCTCCCAGGCCCCTCGGACTCACCCCCAAGTCACCCCCAGCACCAAGAGGCCCTCCCTGCCCGATGCCCTCTGTGGTCACCACCCCTCGGGCACCCCACCACCCCTCGGGCATCCACCCCAGCCTCCTGCATCAGAAGCCACTGTACCCACCATCCCCATCAAGAGCGAAACTTCCAGCAAGACCCAACGCTGGAAGTACGTCCACGGGGTGGGGTGGCTGCCCATCTCAGCGGCCCCAGGCCTCGTTGCTCAGCAGGTCAACAACCCCATCCTCTCCTGCTTCCCCCCATCCAGGGGCAACACCAGTTCCCTCTCCTCGACCTCCCGGAGCCCAGGCTACCCCTGCGTCCCACGCCTGCATCCTTTCTCCCCCAGCCCTCACCCTGGGGCAGCACCGACTCTGGCCCACGGTGACGTCTACCTGGGTCCCGGTCTCGGGGCACCCGGTATCCTCACTCCTCTCCGTGCCAGCACAGTTGCTCTCACCCCAGAGCCCCTGTCCCCCGCAACCTGCCACCCTCCAGGACAGGCCCAGCCCATCCTGGCCCACAACCCGAATGCCCTGTCCAGGCACAGGGAGGTGGACAGGCAGGGTGAAGGGACCCGTCTACCATCCTCTGAGCAGCAGGAATGGGACCTCCAAACTAGGGCACTGGCTGTGAGCAGGCCCGGGGGCCGCTGGGCCCAGGGGATGGGCTGAGGGACAGTGGGGCCTACTGGGGGACAAGGTGTCCTGGCCATTGGCAAACGAAGGCGGGGCTAGAGACACACCCAGCAGACGTCTGGCTCCCTCGGGTCTGAATGCCGGGGTCGGGGGGGCGGACAGTGAGGCCTGACCAGTCAAGCGAGGGTCTCCTCTCACTCACTCACTCACTCACTGGCCAGCTGAGATGGGCGAGGGAGCTTATGCCTGTCCTGCCAAGAGATGACCAGAGCCTGGGGGCAGATGAGAGGCCCAGGATGGCACCTCCTCCCGGCAGCGGAGCACCCAGCCCCCTAGGGCAGGACCCGTGTGGTCAGAGAGCTGGATGAGGTCCCTGAGCAGAAACAAACACCTCGACCCAGACCCCAGCTCACGGTGACCACAGTGGCCACGAGGCCCAAGGAGCGAGAGGAGCAGCAGAGAGACGGGAGGACGGAGAGGAGAGCAGGCAGGACGCAGGAAGGGGAAGACAGGGTATTAACGGTCACTGCTCAGACCAATGGCCAACTGTCACCGAGGCCCAGCCGTGAGCACAGCCCCCCAAAATGTCCCAACCCAAGGCGAGTGTGGACTGAGAGGGTGTGGCCTGAGGGCGTCTGGGGTCCTGCTGGGGCCGCATCTGTTCTGTGTGTCCTACTTCCAGGCGCTCCTCATGGTGGGGGCCAAGGGGAGAAAAGCAGGTCACCGTGAGAGCTGGGTGGAGCTTGCTGAAGCCCCCGGCCACCCCCAAGGCCCCAGAACAAGCCCGAAGTCGCCAGCAGCACGGCCTGAAGCGCACAGTGAGGACCACTGCCCCCAGGGCCGGAATTCGGGTTCACAAAGCTATCAGAGAGCAGGACGGCGGGCAGGACGGCGGGCAGCGGACAGCTCCCTGGACCCCGCAGCTCCTTCCAGCTCTGGCCAAGCCCCCAGCAGGTCCTGCGGCAGCCCCCTCTCCTCCAGCTCCCCTGGGGGGTCCTGCCATCAAGCCCCGCCTGCCTCTGCCCTGCATGTCACTGTCTACAGGGGGGAGGCCAGACCCCAGCCACCTAAAGGATCGGGTTTTGTGTCCACACTCCTACAGCCGGCAGGCCAGGGGCCATGGCCCCACAGGGGAATGCTGCCTCCGGGCCACTCTCCTCCCCTGGGGGCTGGAGGGAGGGGCAGATGTCGTCGATCAACCATGGCTCTCACCCCACAGGCCCAGACTGGGCCCCGGGGTCATCTGCCACACCGGCTCCAGGTGCCCCCTCCACGGGCTCAAGGTGCGGCAGGCCTGCCCTCCGAGACAGGGCCTCGTCCCTCCCCTGCCCAGGGAGAGCCTAGGGCCGAGTCTCCCCCTTGTTCCCCAGGGCCTCGGCTGCAGCTCTCGATCTCCCTCAGTGGGTGCTGACCTGAGGTCGAAGGTGCGGGGGAGCCCTGGGGTTCGGAGTCTGCCTGCTCTAGGTCAGCTTGACCAAAATCAGCTGCAATTTCCAGGGAGCCCTGGGGTGAACCCCAGCAGAGACAGACCAGCTTCCTGGGGGTCAGGGCTCAGCAATGCTTCCCCAGGTCCCCCATGGGCTCAGGGAGCCGGAAACTCATGGGGGCAGGGCCTGGCACCTGCCTCAGCCCCGACACAGCAGCCTGGCACAGCAGGGTCCCCCACTGCTGGCCTGATGGTGGGACACCTGCAGCGTCATCCTCCCCCCCCCGAAGAGAGGCACAGGTGTGCACTCGAGGCACACACATGAACACGCGTGTGCACACCAGCAGCGACGCCCACGAGCACACACACACAAGAACACGGGGGTCCTGAGGACTGGGGTCTGGGGGCGACAGCCGCCCCCCATGGGCACCCGGCCTCCCGCAAGCGCCCCCCCCAGCCACTGCCTGGCTCTCCTCCAGCCCCACCGCGGGCCCTCTCTGCCGGAGCTTCCATCCCACGCCAGCCGCTCCCCACGGTCGTCTGCAGTGACTCACAGAATGAATGGAACTTTCCGGCTGCAGGAATGGAAACGCATGCAGGTGCGGGGCAGGCAGCCCGGGCCGGGGGCTCAGGACTCACAATCAGGAGAACCTACTCTCCTGAAGAACAGGGAGCCCTCTGGCCCCTGAAGCACTCGCTGGGCTGGAGGGTCACGGGGGGCTGGGGCGTCTCCAGAAAGGTGCGAGCAGGAGCAGAGCGGTGAGGCCCTGGCCAGCCTGGGTCAGGGACACACACTCGCCTCTGCTGGACTGAAAGGGGGTGAGAGGCAGGGCAGGATCTGCCGCACCTGACCACGGGGGCTGGGGATGCTCCTCCCAGTAACCCAGGCCTTCCCCAGACCCCAGTGGTCCAGAGCCGCTGCGGCTGGAGCTATGCCCGCCAGGAGAAGGGTCCAGATGCTGACACCAGGTGGCCCCTGTCCCAGGCACACCCACTCCTCGAGAGAAGAGTGCAGAGGACCCCCCCACCTCGAAGGCAGGGAGACCAGTCCTTCCCCCGGGGCCCTGGTTGTGCTGAGAGCACCAGGGCCTCCCCCGACAGACCCCTGGGCCGTGAGGGCCACTCGGACCAGTCCCAGGGCATGAGAGGTGAGGTCGCATGCCTGCCTCTGCAGGGAGCCGGCCGGGAGCCCAGAAGTCAGCCCCGGAGCCCTCCCCAGGCTGCAGGGCTATTCACGGACTCTGCCAGGCCAAGAACGGCGCCGAAACAAAGCCCCGGGCAGAGGCCCGCGCTCCAAGCGGAAGCCGTGCCATCTGCCAGTGAGCGAGTGAATGGCGCTGATTACACAGACGCTCCCCAAGTCCCGCTCTCCACAGGACGGCCGCCTTTAATCCCCAGCCTCCCTGGCCGCCGCCCGCCAGCCTCGCCACAGCTCAGCGCAGCTGCCTCCCGAGCCCAAAATAAGCCACGCGGCACCCGACATGGACACGTGCAACACGGGCCTAGCAGGGGAAGAAGTCGGGGAAGATACTGTCCACCTCCTCCCGCAGGGCCAGGCTGGGGCAGCCCGCATCCGAGCCCCATGGCTCCAGGGGACCATCCGGGAGCTCGTGGAGGCCGGGCTCGGGGTCCGTTGGGAAGCCTGGCTCGGCCCTGTCCAGCAGGCTGCTCCTGACCGCACTCCGAGAAGGGGCACGGGCCCCTCTGCCCTCCACGGACCCTGGAAGCAGAAGAGACACATCAGTCTGGGTACCACGGCCGACATGGCAGGATCAAGGTGCAGAAGAGGCCACCCCTCTGTCCTGCCCAGCTTAGGAGCCCCTGACTCCCGAGTGCCACGACACGTAGACGAATCCGCTCCTGCTGGCCGCGCTCAAGACCTGGGAGGACCCATGAGAGCACGACGGGAAACCACGTCCCACACGGCTCATCTCACAGACGTCCTGCTCTCCCGTCCTGATGCCCTCGCAAGGATGCTTAGGGGGAGGGAACACACAGACCCCGAACGGCAGGAGGCGCACAGCCAGCCCCATACACTGTGCTCACACGGGCACTCCACGTGCACACGCGCCACCTTGTACTCCCCACCCGTGACCTCGACGACCACCAGCAGGGAAAACAGGCTCAGAGACAGACAGCAGAACCTCGGTGGCACACAGCAAGGTGAGCCCACTCACACCTCCCCGTGCATCCCAGCCACCTGCCCAGCCCCTCACCCAGACTGGCTGAGACCCTGAGGCATGGCCCAGGCTCACCGCCCCCCACTCACCCAGCCACCAGTCGGGACCAGTGTTCAGCAAGTAGGACACCCCGTCTTCCACATCACATCCCAACACGGGCCTGCGTGGGATCAGAAGACGTCATCGTGAGTGACCCCAGCTGAGCACAACGCCTTAAAGCTCAAGAGCAAACTGCAGCAGCTCCAAAGCGGCTTCAGGTTCAGGAAGAACAGGGCGCCCCTCCCTCCCCACCACACCAAACCTGCCCACCGAGGACAGATGGGCCCATCCCGCCACCCGCTTCTGCTGGTTTCCCTCCAGCCTCTGCCACGCTCCCTTCCCACGCCCCAGCTGGCGCACGCTCACAAAACACAAACTCGTTTACTATCAGCCAAAACACAGACCGGCTAGAAACACGACAACGTTTTTGGAAACGCGTCAGAAAGCCACACTGCGGCGTCTGGCTCAAACGGGCCCGGGCAGCCAGCTGCGGCCAGGACACAGACAGCGAGGTGGGGGGGGGCAGGCAGACTTCCCCGGGGCGGGGGCGGGCAGAGTACCGGCTGCTGCAAAAGCCCACCAGGGCACCCACCTGGTGTCCAGCGTCCCGACAGGGTCGGCCCCGTCCGCCAGGGGCCCTGCCCGGCCCAGGCAGCTCGGAGCCTCTGCACTCACCAGCGGGGAGGGCGGCTGCCACGCGCAGGGAGGCCAGAGCGGGGGCGGCCTCAGGGCCTCGGGAGGACTTGGGCCTGGGGGCTGGGACAGCAGGCTGCAGGGCTCTACGACAGAAGGGAGGTGTAGGGTGGCCTCCCGCAAGCCCTCAGCGCCCGTCCACAGTCCCCCACACAGGGACAGGAGAGCTCAGAAACAGGAGGCAGACAAACGACCCAGAGACAGACACCCGGGGCCGCGGTGCTGGGCAACTGGGGTCAGGGCAGGTTCTCAGAGGAGACGCCCGCTTGGCCTCGGCTCAGCCCTTAGAGCTCAGATACGGAACCCCGCCCCGGCTGCCCACAGTCCCTGCCCCAGCCTCTACCCTAAGATCTCGCTCGCTGCCACGTGACCTCTGCACCCTCACGCCTGCCCTCGGCTCCCAAAGTTCCCCCGAGGCCCCAGCTCCGCCGCCAGCCCCGGAGACAGGCGGTCCCCTCCCCCACTCCATGGGCACATTCGGGCAATCAGAAGGCGCAGCCTTGGCTCCCAAGGCAGTCAAGTGCATGGGGTCTAAACCCCCCGCAGCCATTCACACTCAAGGAGTGACAGACGGCTGGGCTGCAGGGTCCAGCACGAGCCAGACGCAGTCATCGGAAATGCCCTGCGTGCGTGACTGCACAGTAACAGAGGACAGACGCCCTCCCCGTGCAGCCTGTGACTCACACGGCTCCAGAAGACAGGATCAGGAGGGCGCCAAGAAGCCCAGGCTGCAGGGGCTGCTTGAAAGAGCTGGGCACAGCAGTGACCAGCAGCAGGCACGAGGACGGGACCCGGGGACCCCCAGAGGCCCAAAGTAAAGGAGGACCGGGGGCCTGTCCTCGGGGAGCAAAAGCGTGGACGCTATTCCCCAACAAAGGAGGACAACAAGGACTGACGAAAGATAGCCTGTAGCCTAGAAGCCCAGGCACCTCGGCCGCGTCCATGAACCTGTTTGCTGCAGCTGCGAGCACCATGGGGTCCCCGAGGCTCACCCCGACACGTGGGTGTGTCATGATGAGACCACAGTAGGTGCCAAACTTCGTTGAGGAACAGACGCCGCCGTGCCCCGGGCTCAGAAGCCATCCTGCAGCCCAGGCCTGTCCCCTGATGAGGACACCAAACCCATCCGCACTGCGACCTGCTCTCGCTTACCAGGGAGGACTGGCGGCCCCTCCACCACCTCGGCCGCCACCGGCGGGGCCTCGCCCTCAACCGCGCCCGCGGTCCCACAGCTCACAGGAGCCGGTGGCCTAGGTGACAGAAGACAGAGGGAGATCCTGAACGGTCTGCATCTGCTGCCCCATGGGCCCCCCAGCCCCCAGGGGACACTAACACAGTCAGGCCGGAGGCTCCCGCGCCACAGTCTGGGGACCCTGCTGCGCCCACACTCGACAGGGCCTGCGGCAGAACGTCCGTCTGCCGCTCGCGCCACACCTCCCTGGACGGACCCAGAACCTACAACGGAAACAAGCCACGTAAACAAGAACAGCCGAGCAACACACACACACACACACACACACACACACACACAGGAAACGCAGGCCATGGGTCGTCACGGGCTGCCCCGCGGGGGTCTGAGAGGCTCAGCCTGAGCACAGACCACGGCCTGGAAGAGCAGAACGGTGGACGGAGGGGACGTCAGGGACTGGAGCGGGGACCAAGCTTGTTCCCGGGGGCTCCCACCTCACTGGGGGAGACGGTGCACGGATAGCTGGAACCGGCACAAACAGAGAACACCGCCCCACCGCCATCACAGCCACCCTGGCTGCCCCCGGGGGGCGAGATGTCCCCCAGCAGCTCCTCCATGCAGCGTGGCCCGGGCGGAACGCCACTCACGGTGTGCGGCTCCTGGCTGGGAAGCAGGGTGCCGGCAAGCCGAAGGAACTGCACGGACATCTCCAGCACCGAGGCCATGTCCTCCCGCCGGCCATCAAAACGGGGCAGCAGGGCCCGCAGGCGCTCGCAGCTCACCGAGATCCGCTTCCTGCTTCCAGACAAGCCACATGTCCAGCAGCCCACCTGGCCTTGGCCAGCGAGAAGGACCATGGCCACGGGCTCTCCCCTCAGAAGGACCCCGGGCTCACCCCTGGGCGGCTCTCGGAACAAGGTGACCCTTCAAGGCTGTGGGCCACAGGCTACCCAGATCTTTGCACCAGCTCTGGCCAGCCCATCCCTGGACCACCCCTGCTAGAGACCCCAGAGACACACCCTTGAGCCGCCCAGGACTGGGGTCAGAGAGGGGGCTGCCCAGGTAGGCCCTGGGAAGCCCCTCCCTTGGGTTTCCTTGCCACATGCTAACTGCCCGCTGACTGCAGGGCCCCCACATCCCTGGTCCACTGCCCACACCCAGGTCACCAGTCTGATGTCCGCCGCCGCCCCCACCACAAGGCCCCGGCAAGCCCAGGATGGTCCTCCGCCCACCTGCGCTCCCTCTCGCTGAGCACGTTCCTCGGGAGGCCAAGGCTGGAGACGGAGCCGGGGCGCTCGGGGGGCGCCCTGACCAGGCGGGCGGCCTGACCGTAGTCCTCGCTGCAGCCCAGGACGCTGGATGGGGACGAGCCACTGCCCAGGACAGGCAAGAGCGTGGAGCTCCGTGAACCCCGGAAAAGGCTGCCGAGACCCAGGGGCCCTCATGGTCTTCTCTGGGGGCCGCTGGGCGCGGTGGGGGCTGCTGCAGGGCAGGGCCCCCCTTGGCCCGCCGCCCCCCACGAGGCCTGCACAGGGTGCCCGGCCCCAGGCGGTCCCGCCGGATGGGGACCTGCAGCTCAGTTCCCCAGCCCCGCACCCCTGAGCAGAGGCCTTCCGCCTGACCCCTCCACTGCCCCCCCACTTCCTCACCTGCACCCCCCAAGCGCAGCCTCAGGGCCGCAAGACGCCATGAGCGCAGCTGCAGTGACGTAACCGCGCACCCGAGACGCCACGCCCCGCACCACGCATGCGTCAGGCCGGCTCCGCCCACTCACGTGGACCCCTGCCCCACGTGCGGCCCCGCCCCCCCACCCGGGCCCTCCCGCAGAAGCTGCATTGCAGGGGTGTGCGGGCGTGGCCTGGGGGCTCTGGGGCTGGAGTCCACCCGCCTGTGTGCTCCTCCGCCCTCTCCCGGGGAATTGGGGGGGGCGGTCGGGCCGCTCCCACTCCCGCTCAGCTGGGCTTAGCCACCTGCGAGGCCAGGCCTGACCGCAGGGAGCCTGGCTAGGGAGGGGGACGCAGGCGAAGGCTACCCCTACCCCGGGAAGGAGGGCAGGAGGGTAGAGTGGTGTTCTGGACGGGGCGGGTCCCGGCATGTAGGTGGCAGGGAGGACGCCCCCCACGGTGCCGTCGGTGTTGCCTGAGGCGGGGCAGCCACAGATGTGGGGAGAGGAGGAGGAGCTGAGGGTTTCTGGAAGGTTCTGCAGCCAGGAAGCCCGCTGGGGGGTCCCAGAGGAGAGCGGACAGCTGGTCTGAGAACTGCCGTCGGAGATCTGTGCGATCGGGTCGGCCGGGAACGGCTGGAGGACACCCACTGGCCCCGGAGGCCGGCAAGTCTGCAGTGCACCTGTGCCTGTCCCCCGAAACATGTCCCCTTCCCAGGCGCTCCTCCTCGGTGAAGTGCCACCCTCCGCCTTAGGAGCCGGGGGCTCGCGGACCGCGCTCAGCTGCAGCTCTGGATGGCATCTTCCCTCCCTGGGCCTCCCCAGCGCCCCAGCTCCCAGGGCTGGCCGGCCTGCCTCCCCACCCTGCCTCTGGCCGCGCGGGTGCTCTCGGCCTGCCCAGAGCCACTCCCTCAGCTCACTGCCCCGGGGGGAGCTCCGCTCAGAGCCCAAGCCCCGCAGGTCCTTGGAGCGTCCGGTGCCCGAGCGCCAGGCTCTGTCCGCTCCTCTTGCTGCGCCTCCAGGGACGCGGGCAGGCGTTGCTGGAAGGACCGAGCCCCTCCCCCCAGGAGCGAGGAGCCCCATGTACCCTTGGGGGTTTCCAGCATTAAAGCGTGGCTGGGAGGGTTCCGAGCGCCTCGGTGGAGGGCGGGTCCCCGGGTGAGGATGCGCCCACGCGACCGGTCGCTGCGCCGCGGCAGGGGACACGCCCCGCCTGGCGCCCGACCCCCACCCCGGAAAAGACTTTCTTCTGCTCGGAGGGAGAAAAGTGCGGTGCTCCGACCAAGGCAAAGCAGCTTTTCCCTCCGCTCCGGATTCCAGCCGCTGCCGCCGTGCATGCCTCTCCCCGACGGGGCGCGCGTGCCAGGGGGATCGTCCAGGGGGGCGCAGCGAGGGGCGCGCGGCACGGGCCACACCAACCGGACCTTCGTGTTCGACGACGGCAGATGCGCCCGCAGGTACGGCCGACGCGCCTGTCCCGTGGTGGAGGGACCCCAGTCCCCGCTTGCGCCCCCTCCCAGGAGCCTTGCACCCGAGGCCCTTCCCCAGCCCAGAGCCCGACATCCCAGGTCCATCTCCAGGCCCGCGCCTGCGAGCGCCCTACCCCGCCTACCGAGGTGGGGGTCAGGAGCGCTCCAAGCAGGAACCGGCCGCGCCAGAGGGGCACTCACCCCAACGACCCGCAGGTGCCCCGGGCTGGCGTCTGTGTGTCTGCGCTTTCAGCGCGCAGGTGGTCCTGGCGCGGCCACCTTTAGGTGTGGGGCTTCAGCATCTCCCAGGCGCAGGGAGGTGCGCCCCCGCGGGCTGGGGAGCTGGAGCCACGCCGGCCTCCCAGCCGCCCTCCACCGAACCTGGAAGAAGGGCCCTTGGGGTGCATGCCTGCGGGGGTGGTGGCTTTGCGACCCCCAAGTGGGCCATGGCAGAAGGGTACTCCGCAGGAAGCTGGGGTCCAAGGGCCGTCCTTCCAGGAAGGACCCAGACTGGGGTGTGGGAGGGAAGTGCGCTTTTACATCAAAGGCAGGAATCCTGGCTTTTGATTGTTTGATGTTTGGGCTTGTTCTTTCTCTTTTGGGTCCCGATTTGCTCAGCAACGTGAGAGTAGTTCCTGATATAGATTCTAGGTGGCTTGGGAGCCAGTGACGGTCGGCCACCCTTCCCCACGCAGTGTCCCAGGATGCCACGTGTCCTGTGCAGCCAGGTGACTGGCCCAGAGGGCACAGCGCTCCGGGGAGCCCCAGGGAAGGCAGAGTCCCAACAGACCTGCTGGGTTTTTTGTCCCAACCCAAGGAAGGTCATGCTGGGTGGAAAGTCAGGCTGAATGGGGAAAGGGAGATTGAGTGAGGACCCCCAGGAGAAGGTCAGGCTAGATGGAGAGGCCACAGGAGAAGTTAGTCTGGGTAAGGACCACCCCCCACCCCTGCCCAACGAAGGTGAGGCCAGACTGGAGTGGGAGCAGCAAAGGACAAGGCTGCGGGGTTGGGGACACAGGCTTCAGCTGGGAGAAGGAAGACCTTTCTTGGGTGAAATGGGGGCCTGGGTTGGGCAGTTTCCTGCCCCAGGCTTCACAGCAGGGGCAGCTCCAAAGTCCAGGGGCCTGGCTTGGCATTCTCTCCAGACCTTGGGTGAGGCTCTGTCTTGAGAGAAGCTGCGTGATATCGGTAATAGCGCTGTGGTTCTGGGCCAGGGGGGTGGGCGGTTGTGGGTACCCCTGCCTGCTGCTGGCGGGGGCTGGCCCCTAGGCTGTGAGGTCAAGCACGAGAGGTCCTGGGGAGGGCTCTTGGCTTTCTGAGCTACAGGAATCTTTACCTTGGTGCCTGGACCCTGGGTCTAGTCCTGGGAGGTGGGGTCCCAGGCTCCGGCCACCCGTCAGATCAATGGGCACTGCCCTTTTTATCCTCTTCCTCCTCTAAGTGTAGACGTCATTGTCCTGCAGGTAACGATTGTTATGGAAGGGACAGAAGCCTGGGGAGGCCGGTCCTGCCCCTGAGCTGGCCAGTGCTAGCCTTCTGGTCTGAGCCCTGTGGCCTTTCCCAGAACTGCCAATTCCCCTCAGCCCGACCCCTCCCCACTGGGGCTGCCATGGCCTCCTATGGGCCCTGATGGCAGAGGGCGTGGAGAGCCAGGGCTGGTGTCCTGCCAGGGATGGGCCTGGCCAGAGGTCTCGGCCGGCCCTCCAGGCCCATATTAGGGAGCAGTCCCTCCAGGGCAGCAGGAAGTGGCCTAGGCCTGAAGGGAAGGTTCCCAGGACCTGAGGTCCAGTCCAGCTTGGGCCGCGCGAGGGTGGCCTCCCAGCCTAGGGGGCTGGAGGGGGCTTGGGTCTGCCTTCAGCCCTGGGAGTCTGCAGCAGCAGCTCGGAAAGACAGCAGTGAGTGAGGAGACTGAGGTGGGGGTGGCCGCTGGGGGCTGTGCTTCTGTCAGAGGGTGGGTCTGTGGGTGTGACCTGTGTCCTCACGCCCAGCTGCCCCACGGCCGCTAAGTGTGCCAGTCCGTGCGCCCGCCAGCTTGTCTGCCAGTCTGGGTCTGAGTAACCCGCGGGGTGGCCAAGGTCGGCTCTGTGACTGTGATTTCCTCTCCCCACGGAGGGTTAGTGACTAAGTGTGAATTCTTCACCGAGGTTTCTGCTCGGGCTGCCGGAGGAAGCGGGGGTTTGCAGGCTGTTTGGAGGGCTGCCTGCCTTCTCTCCAGACAAGCCCCCGGAGTTGTGCCCTGGGCACGTCTCCCTGAGCGTGTCCGGAGCCTTGTGCGTGAAGGTGCCTGACGGGCGGATGTGTGCGTGCCTGGGTGTGTGTGTGCGTGTCACACGTGCATTGCAGTAGGAGAGTGGGGCCCCTGGAATGTGGAGCGGGGCCCTGCCTGCTGCTGGAGGGGGGGTGGGGTGGGGGAGTCTGGGGGGCGCCCCAAGATGGGTGTTGGCTCAGGAGCAGCCCCGGACGCCGCAGGCGGTCAAGTCGGCTCGGGAGCTCTCGGACCGTGCGTGCGGTGGATGTCCTCCTCCGCACCTTCCCCCGAAATCTTCTTCCCCTGCGGAGCCAGGGGCCTTGCCCAGGAGGTGAGGCTCACAGTAGATGCTGGTGAGTTTAAAATGTTTGCGGGGGATGGAGGCGGGGCCGGGCCGGCTGCCTGGACTGAGTCCCTCGAGAGCCGCTCCGGAGAAGTCTGTGGTGCCGTCCGGACCTTCCACGGGGGGTGTAGTAGACAGTCCGCCGTGTTGTTGCTCTGGGCTGTCCCATGGGGGACAGGGAGGTCTGGAGGCCTCCGGACACGCCAGCCACCCTAGGCAATGGCTCTTGCTGGCCTGTGATATTGCCTGACACACTGACAGCGATCGGGCCAGAGGCCGTTTGCTGGGGACCTCAGCTGGTGCTGGTTTCCTGAAAAGAAGGCTGGCCGCCATGTCCTTGCTAGCGGAGGGGACCCGGAACCTTAGGACTCAGCTCTGGGCTGCTGGGCAGCAGCAGGAAGGGGCCGTGGCCGGGTCCCAAGCAGCATGGAGGCCATGGTGTCCGCTGCCCACACTGTGGCTCAGGCATAGGCGCGAGCATCCTTGTCAGCTCTGCCCCTGCCAAGCCACTGGGGACAGTGCATGGGGACAGAGCACAAGCTCACGTTTCTCCCGAGGGGTCAGGGCGGGAAGCGGGCAGGAGAGCAGGTGGAGCTCGGCCTCTGTGGGGGCGCCCATGACTGCTGCGCTGGGCAGTGCGGGGAGACGGGGGCTCCTGTGGTCTCAGGGCCAGCACTTGAGGACCTGGCGGACCTGGAGGCCCAAAGAGGTCCTCCCTGACCCTGTGGGACACGGGTGTGGCAAGGCTCGGGGAAGTCGACCAACCTGTCTATTCCCCAGCCAAGTGACAGCCAGCTCTCCGGACTGCCCCCGTGGGGACCGTGACCGGAGCTCGGGGTTTGTACCCGCAGTAACGTGACAGCGCCAGGCCGGCAGGGGCCTGGGGCCCAGGAGAGGCTGGCAGCCTGGCATGGAGTCCTTGTGGGAACCCTGAGGGTATTGGTGGGAACGTGACCCTGGAGGCGCTGGCGGGTGTCAGAGGACAGGGAGCCACCCGGCACTGGACTCTCTTGGACGCTGAGAGCACGAGACTCAAAGAGCCGAGGACCTGCCAGGAGTCAGGTGTCACGCGTGGACAGAGTGACAGCCCCACCGGGTTTCTGTCTCATGAGGACACCTCTGCAGGGCAAGGCAGCCTTTCGGGGGCACGCCCCGCGGCCAGCTCTGTGGGCTGAGCAGGGGCCTGGCGGGGACAGATGGGGTAGCCGTGCTCTGGGGGAGCCCCCATGCCCGGCCACGACAGAGGCGAGTTTACGTTCCCCCCTCGGGCTGGCTGTCCTGATGGGTTCCTAAGGGCCCCCCATCCCGTGTGTCCTGCCGGAGGGACAGGTCCTCGGGCACCTTTGGCCAGAGGATGGGACGCGGCTCTCGGGCAGGACCAGCTAAGGGTCGTGGGCACCCAGTGGGGGAGTGCTGGGCCTGGCGATCTGGACACGGACCCACCGCCCATCCTTGAGGGACCAGGAACAAGGACAAGACATGTCCTTGTTGGCGTGTGCCACGGGGGGCTTTCTTAAGAGGTAGGCCCAAGCCCAGCTGGGTGGGCAGGGTGGGGACTACAGATCCCCGTGGCTTCTGAGTGGACGTCGGGCTCCGGGCAGGTCAGTGGCAGGGACGGACCCTGGGCCTAGGCCCGATGCCCTGC